TTAACTGATTTGGAACACTAAACACATTTGAAATCACTGAACAAATTTAACATTAACTGATTAGGTAGCTTCAAATGTTTTTCATTGAAGATGAATACATGGGTTTAGGATGGTGATGAAGAAGAATACGATTAGGATTTAGATTGATAAAGAATATGTATAGAAGGGGGATGGATGTGGGTGTACAATATTATAGAATGTCATTCTAATTGTTTTCATTTGGTGGGTGAGTGTTCTATTAAAAGTTGCCATTTAATGTAATTTTACTTTAGAGTATAATTATAATAAAAAAAAGTGAGAATTGAGGAGTCCAAATAAATTAGGTAAGTACTAATAGCAACACTCTATTATAGAAGATTTTGCTTGTGTTTATTGTTAAAAGAACGAGTGGCTATAAAAAGTAAGTTTGTAAAATAAATTAATTTATTGGAGTTTGATTTGTTAAAAGTTTGTTTAAAATCGATTCGTTAATGTAAATAAATCAAGTTCAAACATATTTATTAAGCTTCATGGGAAACCTAAATAACTAAATCCTTGGTTAAACTTGATTATATGTACTACAAAAATCAAGATGCTTGTGTTTGATTGGTAATTTTCTTGATTAAAACTTATTTGAGATGAGTTTGAATATTAAGAAAAGTCAATCTTACACATATTTTGAATCTCATTAAGTTTTCAAGTCAAATTTAATAATGGGAGACTTACATATAAGTCTTAATAGGTGGACTTATTATTCAATAGGTCTTATGATAATTAATGACATTTTTCATCAAACACGATTAAAAAACATCAGTGATTGTTAATTTTCAGCGACAGTTTCAAAATTGTCACAAAAGTGTCACTAATTATAAGTTTTAGCGATAGTTTAAAAAAAATCGTCACAAAAAAGTCACTAATTTTTAATTTTTAGCAACAGTTTGAAAAATTTGTCAAAGAAAAATCTAATTAATTGTAAGTTTTAGCGATAATTTATGAAAATCGTGACAAAAAAGTTACTAATTGTCAATTTTTAACTACATATGTAAAAAATCGTCACAAAAAATTATTTTTAGCGACGATTTTATTATGACTTATTTTCAATAGAACTTGATAAGAATTAAATTCAATTATTAAGACTTATTAATAATTTACTCTTAAATTAATTGCTACTCAGTTTCACTCGATTTGTTTAGAGTCCTAAAAAAAGAAATTTTAGTTATTAAGAAAGTTGTATTGGGAGATTAGCAAAACTTGCTTCAGTACATATTATTCATTATAGACTGATATTTGAAATTACAAACTAGATGGGTCTAGTCCAACTATCATAGGTCCATTTTGGAATCGTTTTAATAATTCTAACCGTCAGGAACATATTGGGGATATTATTTATATATAAAAAAATTATGGTGATTAGATATTGATAGCGACTTTAGCATATCATATTTATTTGAAAAAAAATATCTATCAAATTTCTTATCCTTTAATCACACAATCGTTTGATTGAGAATATATTAAATACGAAAAATAAAAACTTTGCATATAGAAAATCCTTAGCCCAAGTATAATTACATCTTTGATAGCCACAAATCATAATGGTTTGGCAATTGCTTCAAGTAGGTCTTTTTTTTCTTTTTTCTTTTTTCCTTCCTTTCTTGTGTGTGTGTGTGTATGTGAATTTGCTTATAATTTTTTTTATTTAAAAAACTTTCACATTTAGATTTTACTAGATAAGAAGACAGACAACAAAAGAAAAATAAAAAGGCTAAAAAATGGTTTTATTCTATTTTTTTGTCCTTCGTGATTTTTTTGAAATTTTATTTTTATTTTTTACTTTTTAGATTCTAAACTAGAAAGACCTGGAAAGTATAAAATTTTAACAAAAAATTATAAAAAAAAATTACCTGACACAAAAGAAAAAAGAAAATTATTAAGTGTTGCCAAACAAAATTGAGTTTTGCGTATCAGAAACCTCACAAAGTTGTGGAAGCTTTTCGGTTCTTTATTATGTGCACTAAATTATCATCCTCTCTTTTTTTTTTTTTTTTTGGGGTAAAGCAAAATCTAACAATTACCAATAAAACTCACTTGGTGGGCGTAATATTTGAATTCAAATTCATGACAATAACACTAATTGTACATAATTAAAATACGAAATGTGTACAGAAAGCATATTGCTAACTAAAATTTATTTTAACATTTAAAGTAAATGTAAACTAAATATATTTTTTTTGTGAATATTTTAATTCTATACACCTAACGTTGTTGCTCAATTCGTAATGTAATATTTCTATGTGACGATTGATTTATCAGTGTTTTGCACTTTGTGTTGCTTTCACTATTTCTTTCGTCTTTTCCTTTTTTTCTCAACTCCTTTTAATTGCTTTTTTGTTTTAGTTAGTTTTTTGATAAGACAATATTCAGGCTACAAATAAACAGAATCGTTCGTGAAAATATTCGAACTCGGCTCGATAAAAGCTCGTTCGAGCTCGATTCGTTAAATTTGTATTGCGTTCTCGTTAAAATCTTAATAAACAAGTCTAAACATACTAAAGCTTGGCTAATCCTTGATTAAGAATGCCTACTAAGTAATTAAGATGAAATTATGTGCTAATTGTGCATTTTGTATGTGTTTTGCATGCCTATCAGTCTGACGTAGGAATATCTGTCTGAATTTCTATTTCGGCATGAAATTTGAAGGCCTTATCGGCATCCGAACATGAAATTGACTAGGTCAACGTGTAATTTAGAATTTTTGGAAATTATGGTGAGTTTAATTAGAATTCGACTCGGAATCAAATAATTAGAATAAATTACATTAACTCAAACAAGTTTGATTATAGCTAATCCCACTTAATTAGCTTAAGTTAAATGAATCTATATAAGGCTCATATATCTTTTAGACTTCACTCCTTCCTCATTCTTGAGACCAAAATGCGCGCGCGCGCGCGTGTGTGTGTGTGAGAGAGAGAGAGAGAGAGAGAGAGAAAGAGGGAGAGGGAGAGGGAGAGAGAGCTTGAAGGGGAGTTGAATTCAAAGAGAAGGAAAGGAAAAATTGAAGACAATTTGGAGCTTTGAGTTAGAATCACACTTGAATTCAACCTTAGGTAAGAACTATACTCTTAAACTTTGTATTTAAGACAATAAGTACATGAATTCAATAGAGTTAGGTGTAGAATTACGCTAAGATTCAAGAATTAAAGCTCAATACATACATGTATGTATAATTCATGGCATTTGAGGTTGTTTTCCCAAAGAATTCTTACATACATGTCATAGTCCTAGCTTTGTTTTGGAAATTCATCATGTTCTATGTCATTTTGTCTTAGTTGATCATGTTTTCAAAGTAAAAAACTTGGATAATTACATGCATGTGCATTTCGTATGAAGAGAAGCATAGCTTTGATTTGGTTTTGAAGAATTGACATACTTTGGGCCTTGATTTTTGCGAAATGATATTCAATTCATGAAGTATAATGGGTTCCTACATGTTTCTCAAGTTTGGGCCCAAAAGAGTGAGTTTTGGAATTGAGTGTTGAACTTGGAACAGAAATCTAGAAATTTCAGAATTTGGTCGCTTCGCTTGAGCAACCAAAGCTTTACTTGAGCGTAAATTGCGAGCTCCCAGTAGTTTTGTAGACAATTGCACGGTGGCTCGAGCGATTGATTGTGCGCTCGCACAAATATCCTTTTTCTCAGTTCTTGGCTCAAGCGACCATCGAGTATTAAAATCGAGCATCCAATACTTTTATAGACTTTGCAGACTGCTCGAGCAACCAAAGTTACGCTCGAGCGAACTGCCATGTTTTTAAAAATTTTGCAAGTGTTTTCAAAGTACATGTTTGCATGCTCATTGCATTCTAGGCATTTATAGGCCATGATTAAGTTACAATAATGAGGATAAGAGTTAGAAACATACGTTAAGAAAGAATAATAATAAGTTTAGCGCCAATGACACGTATGTTCAAGTGTATCTGTCATGTGTTTGTAGGTGACATGTTAACACCCGCCTAATCGATCTGTTTTGTGCAAGTGATCTGTTCTACTTCTGGAGCTATTTGTGAGTAACGACTCTGTAAAGTTATATTTGAATTTAAATATTTTCTGAATAATGTGATATGATTTGTTTTCGGAAATGCTATTTGTGAATCATAAATGATAGTCTAATTTTTTGAAATGTATTCATGGCATCCTTAGCATCAAGTGTTCATGTGACATGGTACTAGGGTTTCAAGTGGGTTCCATTTATGGAACTAGTTATGCATAACCGTCTTTATCAAGTGAAAATTGGTCATCTAGATAACCATCTCAAGTGAAAATGGGTCTTCATTACCATCTCAAGTGAAAGTGGGTCCTTGTGACCATCTCGAGTGAATGTGTGTCTTTATGACCAAGTGATTTGTTGGCTAATGGATGTAACACGTATAACTGTTTATGAGATTTGTATAAATATGTGCTAAACCTATAGGGATAGGTTTGGGTCATGACAATTAGGCTTATTTAATATTTATTAAATAACGTAAAAATATGTATAACACAATTGGATAATTATGTAATTTACAAATTTAAATAATATAAATGTAAATAATAGCTAAATTTATTTAGATTTTGATCAGATATTGACTTTTTTTTTAGTATGTTTATATATCTATATAATTAGGCACAAAGGTTTTTGAAAAATGTATCAAAATGTATGTGAGATACATTTTGATCCAATGGCTGAGATCAATTTTAAGAATATATTAACGGTACCGATCATAATAAAGGACAAAGATTTTTGAAAATGTGAGATATATTCCCGCTCAAATATCTCTCTCCCTCCGCCTTCCACCTATCCACGTCTCTCTCTCCCTTTCTATTCTCACCCATGTCTCTCTCCCTCAACCTTCCACCTACCGACGTCTCTCTCAGCCTTCCCTCTTTATCTCTTTCTCCCTCTCTGTTCTTCTTCTTTCCGCTTCTCCCTCTTTGTCCTTCGCCGCTGCTCATCATCACCATAGCCAGAGAGCGACACAGAAATCGCCATGAAAGCTCTACTTAATTCGGACTCAACTACTATCTCCCCCATCTCCCCCATCAATCCTCGAAACTTCACTCAACCGAAGATCCAAACCTCTCTTCACTTCTCTCCAAAAGATAACCACCACCACCGTTTGATTCGACGGAAAGCTCGGTTCACTACGAAATCTGTGATTGATTCGGCCGCGATTGATCAACTAGGGATTTCAGAAGGCTCACTGCGAAATCTGTGATTGATTCGGCCACGATTGATCAACTAGGGATTCCAGAATCCGGTTTCTAAAATCCGACAGTTTCGACTTCGTATCGGAGCTCCAAGTTTCGGAAACCCAATCAGATCGTGTTGGAAGCTCAAGCCAAGGTCTGCACTGGCTCCACAGCTTTCAAGGTTTTGGACACCATTTTGAGATCAGGTCAATAAATCTCTCTCTCTCTCTCTCTCATACTTTTTTGTTCAATTTTATTTATCAATTTGTAGTTCAATACACTCCACTTTACTTATATATCTGTCTATATCATTCCAAATGCTTCTGGGAATTTGAATGTTTCTTAATTAGCTCATTTTGACAAATTTCAATTGTTTGCGAAATTCACTCTTACTTATGTTGGAGGCCAAAAGATTACTTATGTTCCATTGTTAATTTTCTCTTAATTCAGCTCGAAATTCACTTACTTATGTTAATTTTCTCTTAATCGAAATTCACTCTTACTTATGTTGGAGGCCAAAACAATTGAAACAATCAAAATTCACTCTTCCGTTGGGTTGTTTTGATTATTAATTTTCTGAATCTGTTGGGTTAAGATTCTAAGAATTTTTTGAACTCTTAATCGTTAGGTGTTTGTTCCATTGGGTTCCATTGGGTTGTTTTATTTATTTATTTCCATGCTCTGTTTTTTTTTTTTAAATTGTATTCAAAGTTAGATTTTTTTGTAATGGAAAAGTATTTGTAATGTTAAGGTGTTGGACTGATATGCATTTGTGTTTATAGCATATTATTCTACTTCAATTGTGTCAGACATTGTTCTAGAAATAACCTTATTTTTCATCCTCTAAATTGTGTAGGTGAGGATGAAAAAGGGGAAGGAATTGTCTTGCAATCACGGTATCCGTGGGAAGGAAGTGACCGAGATTATGATTACGAGGAGGTATGTTTTATGTTCTTATGATTTTAATATTCTTTCATCCCCTTTGAATTAATGTATTGTATGAACTTCACATGTGTATGCAGCTCCTAAGCAGAGTGTTCAATATCCTCCGGGAGAATAATCCAGAGCTTGCTGGGGACAGGCGTAGAACTGTTATGCGGCCGCCACAAGTTCTTCGAGAGGGCACAAAGAAGACAGTCTTGGTGAATTTTATGGATCTGTGCAAGACGTATGTTTAGATTTTGTTGGGTTTGCATTTATCATAAAACAAATTATAAAATAAAATAAATTTCTGTCTGATTTGCTCTTTTTGTGAGAAGTCTTTGAAATTGTAGAGTGCTGGTACTGAGAGAGATAATTGCTACATGTCAATTTCCCATCTTAAATTTAACGTTTCTTTAGACACTACTTGCACTTTGTGCATTTATATCTATTAATTTTAAATTGCAAATTTATCTTATTTCATGCATAATCTTGCTTGCCTTGCAAATTTTTGAAGTATACATGAACTCGACCATGTAGTATTTGTTAGTATTTTCAAATCAAGAACTTCTGCAGTTTGTATTTTTATCATCTTGAATACAAACTTAGAATATGTTAGGTTCAAAACATCCCCTAAATCTAAAAATATATTTTCAGCTCCCAAAACTCTCAAACCTGTTTTTGAGATCCTGTTTTTGATCACAAAATGTATTACTGTAATATATTACTTGATCACAGTAATATATCCCAAAACTCTCAAACTTGTTGGGTTCAAAATATATTTTTTAGAACTTGTTTTTGAGGTTTAAAAAATATATTTTTTGTAATGGAAAAGATATGCTCCATGTCAGTAGTCATCTTGGGCATGTTATTGATCATATATATATGTATATGCATATCTTAGCTTGGTGGCGGGTTGTTGATTTTTCTTTGATTATCTGTTGGGCTGTATTGATTTTTTGTTGGTTTCAGATTCTAAGAATGTATCAGAGATACATTTTGTTTAAGGGAAGATGGTATATACGAGTGAGTTATACGGTTTGGATTTTGTATTGGGTGTGTGCAGATTATTATGGTGTCTTCTGGGTGTGTGCAGATTTGAATGATATATATATTGAGTTATTTGAATGATACACCATGCAACAGATTTGGATGATATAGATATATGGAAAAGAAATTCTGCACAGACTTTAACCAATTCTGCAAAGAAATTTAGACAAATCTATAGTATTTATATTCAGACAAATTCTACACAGACCAATGTTTGGATTTTGTATTCGGGTAATTGAAAACATGACTTCAGTATTCTCTCATTTTTATCTTAATTGAAAACATGACTTTAGTATTCTCTCATTGATTCGGGTAATTGTTCTTCTTCTTGATTTTTTTTTCCTCTCTCAGCTTTTGCCTTCATCAGAGCTTCTGTGGATCACTCTGGCCACTCTCACCATTGTTCACTCCGGTTGTGACATCACTTTGGCTGCTCGGCTATTCACTTCGGCTGCTCGACATCCTGCTCGGCTACTCGGTTAGTTTATTACTTTGGTTCTTATTTTTCTGCTCGGCTGTTTTTTTCTGCTTGGCTGCTCAATGCTTTGGTAATGTTTGGCTGCTCGGCATCACTCTTTTTCCTCTCTCAGCTTTTGTTATTGCTTTGCTTTGATATTGAGCCAACTGCTGCTCTCAGGTGAATTTTTTTCTTTTGTTATTGAGCCAATTGCTCTGTTTTGTTAAAGAAAATAATTGCTTTGTTAAAGAAAATATTGCTGCTCTGTTAACAAAGCGACTATACCATGGTTGCTATGGTTTAGACTATATCATGGCTGCTTTGTTAAAGAAAATAGTTGCTTTGTTAAAGAAAAAATAGTTGATATTGAGCCAATTGCTTTGTTTTTTATCTCTTTGTTGCTTTGTTAAAAAACTGTTTTTTTCTTTTGTTAAAGAGTAGTTGCAAAGACTATGTTTTTTATCACCAAAATTAGTTGGCTCTGTTTTTTATCACCAAAATCACCAAAAATTCTGCTCAATGTTTTTATTACTGTTTTTTATTCTGTTTTTTTATCACAAAAATCACCAAAAATTCTGCTCAATGTTTTTTATTTTGTAATTAAAAATTTTGTTTTTTATTACTGTCAACTGTTTAAATTAGTGATGAGAGACAAAAATTCTGCTCAATGTGTTTACTGTTATGAGAGACAATTTTAATGTTTTTCTAAAAATTCTGCTCAATATGTTTTTCCAATAATATATATGGATATGAGCATGAATTTAGATGTTATGAGAGACAATTTTTATCATTAGATGAATATTCTATTAAGTGAATTTTTGAATGATATTTGAATGATACACCATGCAACTGATTTGGATGATATAGATATATGGAAAAGAAATTATGCACAGAGTTTAACCAATTCTGCAAAGAAATTCAAACAAATCTATAGTATTTATATTCAGACAAATTTTGCACAGACCAATATTTGGATTTTGTATTCGGTTAATTGAAAACATGACTTCAGTATTCTCTCATTTTTATCTTAATTGAAAACATGACTTTAGTATTCTCTCATTGATTCGGGTAATTGTTCTTCTTCTTGAATTTTTTTTTTCCTCTCTCAGCTTTTGCCTTCATCAGAGCTTTTATGGATCACTCTGCCTACTCTCACCGTTGTTCACTCCGGCTGTGACATCACTTTGGCTGCTCGGCTATTCACTTCGGCTGCTCGACATCCTGCTCGGCTGCTCGGTTAGTTTATTACTTTGGTTCTTATTTTTCTGCTCGGTTGTTTTTTTCTGCTCGGCTGCTCGGTTAGTTTATTCACTTTGGCTGTTTTTTTTCTGCTCGACTTCTCAATGCTTTGGTAACGTTTGGCTGCTCGACATCACTCTTTTTCTTCTCTCAGCTTTTGTTATTTCTTTTGTTATTGCTTTGCTTTGATATTGAGCCAACTGCTGCTCTCGGGTGAATTTTTTTCTTTTGTTATTGAGCCAACTGCTCTGTTTTGTTAAAGAAAATAGTTGCTTTGTTAAAGAAAATATTGTTGCTCTGTTAACAAAGTGACTATACCATGGTTGCTATGGTTTAGACTATATCATGGCTGCTTTGTTAAATAAAATAGTTTCTTTGTTAAAGAAAAAATAGTTGATATTGAGCCAATTGCTTTGTTTTTTTATCTCTTTGTTGCTTTGTTAAAAAACTGTTTTTTTCTTTTGTTAAAGAGTAGTTGCAAAGGCTATGTTTTTTATCACCAAAATCACCAAAAATTCTGCTCAATGTTTTTATTACTGTTTTTTATTCTGTTTTTTATCACAAAAATCACCAAAAATTCTGCTCAAAAATTCTGCTCAATGTCTTTTGTTCTGTAATTAAAAATTTTATTTTTTATTACTGTCAACTGTTTAAATTAATGATGAGAGACAAAAATTTTGCTCAATGTGTTTACTGTTATGAGAGACAATTTTTATGTTTTTACAAAAATTTTGCTCAATATGTTTTTCCAATAATATATATGGATGTGAGCATGAATTTAGATGTTATGAGAGACAATTTTTATCATTAGATGAATATTCAATTAAGTGAATTTTTATCATTTCACGCTCACATTCAATTTTTATCATTTCATGAATATTTATCATTAATTGAATAGTTGGTCCAGATGATGATATGTGAGCATGCATATATATTATGAGAGACAAAAATTCTGCTCAATGTGTTTACTGTCAAGATATTTGTCTAGGTATATAATTTATTTGGTGTCTGACATACACCAAAACAATATATAATCTTTATTTGGCTCAAACTCAACATCACACTAGCCACTCCTGAACTAGATGAATCTCTCACTATCTCAAATGTTGCTTGAGGAAACCTGCCATCTTCGCCTACCAGGGTCAATTATAGTCCCTCTTTTGCCTTTGTGGCAGCAACCCCCATGATATAGTCACTTCGGCTGCTCTGTTTTTTATCACCAAAATCAGTTATTGCTTTGCTATGTTTTTTACCAATTTTTGTCTCTCCTCCTTTCTCTTAGTGTGTTGGGCCCATGCTATAGATTTTTTGAATTCTTGCTGTCGGATATTAACTGCATTTTCAGTGTGTTGACTCTGTGCTTATGGTTATTTACTTCCAATATTCAACCATTAATTTGGTTTTTTCAGAGTCATAGCAACTCCCTTTTTTCAGAGTCATGTTAATAATTTTTAAGTGGGTGTGAAGTCCATGTCCATGCAATTAAACTGCTATTTTGTCAATTAAGACAATGAAAAGAAAAAAAAATAAAACATTGTTGAATACCTCCTTCATCATTTTGATGCGACAGGAAGATGTGCATAGGGGAGGAAAAAAAAACACCATACATTACATGTGCAAGCAAGCATGTATGTTACAACAACATTCAAATGCATACCATGTCATAAGCCATACCTCTGCAATAATATCTTTTTCCCATATTGATGCTAAGGGAATTAACAGAAACAATACAAGCCTTTCATCCAATACTTCTCTTGCACCAGCTTTATGCAAAAGCCTATATAAACAGCCTCTGCAATAATATTTAATTCCCATATTGATGCTAAGGGAATTAAAAGAAACAATATAAAATAGTAGGAAGATATTCTGTTACTATGGCCAAGTTTGGGGGCTGAGTAACATCACCCATGAAAAGAACAATATTTGAGTGCCACTGAAACAAATTGTTTATGTTAGTTTTTGATTTTTATATCCTCCCCCCCCCCCAAAAAAAAAAATTAGATGTTTCACTTTGTTAGGTGTCATTTGGTTTTATTAGTTGATACTCCTAATACGAATACAATTTGTTGTTACTTTGTATCTTGATATAGTGACTTATTAATGTTTCATATCAGTACTACTAATTAATTATTGAAGTGATTAATAAAGAAGGTACATTCAAGGTAATCTAGATGTTTGATAGGTTGGATTTGCATCTTTAGGTATTTTTCAATTCGATTTTCACAGTTCTTATGCTTTGAATCTATTCTCAAATAGAGGTCTTCACTTGAATTTTGATTTTGATCGTGAATTGTATAGGGAAAGGATGAATCTAATGATCCGCTTTCTAGGTTGGGTTTTGTATTTCTTACTACTGATTTCTTAGCAGTGGTTACCAAAATAAAATATCACTTGGCTGGTTTTGTTTTTGATTAAATAGACAATGGTTGTTTGCCTATGTCATTTTCTATTCTGATAAGATTGCTAATTGTTTCAGCCTTTTTCCCGATTCAGAATTGTTGTGTTGATTTCTGCCTCTCCCCCTTCATAATTGTTGGCTTGATATTCAAACAGGTTATTTTAGACCAAAAATGACTTA